GGCATGTGGGACCCTCCTGGACCGGGGCACGAACCCGTGTCCCCTGCGTCGGCAGGGGGGGGCTCCACCACCCCCCCCCCCAGGGAAGCCCCCCCCCCCCAAGTCCTTAATGAGTGCTTTCTCAAACTTTTATTGCACTTACTGGCTGCAAGTACTCAGCATAAGCTACCCTGTACTGTTTTTTCTCTTTTGCACCTATCTTCCAAGCCAGATTATAAACCTGCTTAGGTGTTCTATCTCCATTGGTCACTTTCTAGCTCTAGCCCTATTAAGTCCCTAATAAAAACAGATATGGGCTGATGAAAGGAGAGAAAAAGGAAAACACTATAATGACTGCAAGCACTGCATCAATCTATGTTCTTTTTCTAACTTTAGCACAACAGTGAAGTCACATCTTATCCAGGGATTAGACTCGAACATTAAGGCGTAATATAAATTGGCAATATAAAATTAGTATATATAGTTAACATTACCCTAGAAAATCCATTAAATTATTCACCTAGTAGATGACTCACCTTAAGGGGCTATGTATTTTTAAACTCTGGAATCACACAAAATAGCTAGAGGATCACATTGTAGGAGATGTGAATAGGCCTAAAGAACAGCAGATAGACTTTTATCTTTCATCTCACCCTCAATGGGGAGCATGTTTTTGTTAGTGGGTCTATTTTAGGGTTTCTCAACCTTGGCACCATTACATTTGGGGCTGGAAGATTCCTTGTTGCAGAGGCTGTCCTGTGCATTGCAGGATGTTCAGCAGTATCCCTGGTCTATTCCCACTAAATACCAGTAGTACCTGCACTCCCACCCTCTCCTGGCCAAGGTGTGACAACCAAAAATGCCCCCAGACACTGGTCTGTTGAGGGTACAAGACCTTCCAATTTTTTGCCAAGTGTGTAAGGCTTATTAAATAAATTCAAATATGATGTACCCTCACTGTTAACCCAATCCTAAATCAAACTATTCATATTTTTCTCTTCTCTTCTGCTGTACTATTATTTTTGGGTAAAAAACAAACTAAATCTCCTAATTACAGGAACCAAACTGTTTTGAAATGATCAGAATTTTTAACCACCAACAATCTGCAACTGAAATAGCTGATGCCTAGACTTTCTGAATAATCACCCCCAAAATAGTACTTTGAACACAATATGAAAAACAAAGGAATTTATTGTACTCCTCCCTCCCCATCAAAAACTGAGTCATTCTGATTAAAAGTTTGAGGATTTGAGATAAAACAGAACTTGATGACAAGAGATGAAAACGAATTCTCACCTATAATGACCTGAACACAATCAAGGCCTTTCTTAAATAGTGAGTAAAAGCTAAAGAAAGCAGTATATTAGATTACGTGTTATTTATAAGTTTTTATAAGTCACCAGTAGTTTCAATGTCATATGTTGAGAAGAAAATTAATTTATAAACTACATTACCATTCCTGCAAAAGGGCCTGCCCCATACACTAGCCATACCAGTTGCTACTATATTTTGTTCTTATTCTAATGCAAAAGGATTAAGTCACTTAAAAGAGTAAAGATATGGAAATGGCTATACAGTATGCTTTTTATATCTACCCTTAAAGTGAACCTGAGCGAAGTTTACTGTTTTCAGTACTTACTGCCCAAAGACAAGGCTTAAAAATTAAGAACAAGAAATGACTAAATTTACAGAACTGTAGTCAAAATGGTTATTATTCTTAAGTGGCAATGTCTTTCTGTCACCAGTTTAAGATCATAATACCTCTCAAACGAATTTTGGTCACTTTCTTCTTATTGGAGCCATTTTTGGAACCCTTTCGTTTTACTAAAAATCCAAATATATTTGCCCTATCAATTTTTTCCTTCTTCTGGACAGATTTGGTCCTGGCCTTCCTTAGGGTACTCTTTCTCAGGGGAATGACCAGTTCCATATATATATATATATACACATATATATATGTGTATACACACACACACACACACACACACACACACACAGACACACACATACAAAACATAAGTACATATACGCAAACATATATATATTTATATTTGCCACAATAGGAAGATAACACTGTGAAACCTAAATCAGAAAAATAAAATTTATGCAGGATTACCTTAATAATATGCTTATTCTCTCTGATTACCAAGTGGCTTTGATCACTCTAATGAATAATCTGGCTTTGTTAACTTTTTTAAAGTCTCACAAACATGAACCCTAAGAATAGTCATTCTACTGCTGGAGAAATACTACAGTACATAACATTGGGTCTTTAGCTTCAAATGCTTCTCCCCAACTACCAAAAAGAAAAAAAAAAAGAAATTGAAGCTGGTATCTTCAGTAAAGCAAAAGTACTTAAGACTTTTGAACCAATAATTGTTCACTTTAAATACAAATTCCAATTTTTAATTCTACTTGAAATAAGGAATTATCACTGATATTTGTTCAACGAGAATGGGTTGTTGATATTAACTGCTGTCATTTTCCCAGATTTTGATCTAAGCATTTTAATACAATACCAAATAGTGACATAAAAGGCAGAGAAAGAAGGAAACTCAGAGATGAAACGACTTGCCCAAGGTCACATTGCTAGTTATAACAAAACAGGAACTGGAAACTCAGTCTTCTAATTCCTAGTCCTCTTTGGGAGATTATGTTGGGTCAAACATTGAAATTCAGAAAAGGACAACCTGAAAAAGTTCCTTGTTAACAATAGCTGCATAATCTGTTAATAACTGCAGCAACCAGAAAACGAAAATTGAAGTGTGGAAGTAACCATGACTCCTCAGAATCCCTGTAAGCGTCTCCTTTTTGCGGATTACAAAATACACACACACAAGCAAAAAACAAAAAACCACAAACAACCCTTCCCACTCACTCCACTACCAACCCGGTCAGATTCTAAGGAACCTGGACCTTCAGCTGAACCTATCTTTTCTGCCTCCAGCCCCAAGAGAATATAAATAACGATAAACACAGGATTAAGGGAGGAAAAAACAAAAAGAACCCCTACACCAAACCAGGCCTCTGGAGGTCTTAGAGAAGAGGAAAAATATTACATATTTTTCCAAAAAAGCAGAGCACAGAAAAACAAAAGGGAATAGCTGAGAGAGCACGCTACAAAGCAAAGACGACCCCTCCTGGCCCACACGCTGGGTGCAGTAGACTCAATCTGTCAGCTTTGGGACAGGATTGTCAGACATCCCTCGGCCATTGTTCCCACAGGAAGCTAGAGAGTTTGGAGGGAAAAGGCAGCCTCCCCACGCCTGCCTCTACCAAGCAGCAATCGGGAGGATGCGGGTGCGCATCCTCCGCACCGCACGCCTTGCACGAGCCAGCCGGCGGGCGCGCAACCGCAGGGCGGACCCTGGCTCCGGGGCCTACCGCCAGGCCCAGCGTCTCCGCGGCGGGAAGGGAAAGGGTCGACCCACACGCCGGAGGGCCGATCAGCAGCATACTCGCGCTGGACTGGTTGGGGAGAAGATGTAGGGGCTGGGATCACCCTGGAGGCTGGGGGCTCGGGGAGCCGGTTAGGCCTTTCTCACCATCGCGCCAAACTCTCGCTGCCGCCGCTGCCGACTCCGCCGCCGACTCCGCTGCAGCACACGAGTTTAGCCGCAATGCATCCAACAGCCAATCCCCGCGAGAGGAGCCGCCGGAAGTCGTCAGAAGGACACCGCGAAAGAACCTTTCGGACCATAGAGACTAACATACTTCCGGCAGCTAGAGCAGATACTGACTCTGTTTCAGCCATCTTGGAAAAGGGCGACGAGACCCACGGGGAATGTATCGGAACTTGAAAAAGAATCATTTTTTTTCAAGACGCTGTCTTCCGTATCGTTATTATGCATGCGGCTAAATTGATCACTGGTATAGAGAGTGATACAAGTCATCTTTCAATGGCCCCACTCAAAAATGGCTGCAGTATAAGAATCCCGGGGCATAGGTCAATTGTAACCCGGAAGTACCCTTCGAAAGGAGGGGGTGGTAAGGCAATCCGGAAGTGGAGTAATGAAGAGGTGCCACTTGGCGGCCATGGCAGCAGTAGTATCGGTGGCTCTGGGTCAAGGCCCAGCGGAGTGGAGAAACATGGGCAGCACTGGGTATAGGGCAGAGACAGCTTTGTATCAGCTTCG